CCTAATTCAAGTACTGTGCAAAAACGCATGATCGCACCGGCTCGCCTGGTGCGTTTCAGCCTGGGTCCATTTAGCGATCGTTCTTTAAAAGTAACCTAGTTGTTCAGTCAGAAATTCAGCCAAAATTTTAAGTGCCCGTGTGCAAGAACCACGCATACTTCGCGGCTGAATTTGAAATACTTTAGTTGTACTTGGACAAGGAATATTCCCCTAAAATTTCAACCTCTCAGCTTTTCTGGTTGCCGAGATAGCAATTTTCCCACAGAAGTTTTCATACGCCCTTACGTGAGTACCATGCATAGCTTTGGGCTGAATTTGAAATATTTGAGTTGTGCTTGGATAGGGAACATTTTCCCAAAACTTCAGGTTCCTGGCCTTCTTGGTATCCGAGTTAGCAATTTCCCCCCTAAAACTTTCATGCGCCCTTACATGAGTACCATGCATAACTGGGGGCTGAATTGAAATCTTTAGCTAGTACATGCGCAGGGAATATCTTTACAAAGTTTCAGCCCCTTAGCCCATTTTGTTCCCGAGATCGCCTTCTCGCCAAAAAGTTTGCATATTTTTTTAAAACGTCCATGCGCGGCATCCTGGCGCCCGCGGGAAATGAAATTAAAACGGGAGGGTCGCGCATGGTATGGGCTCATATTCCCAAAGTTTCAGCCTTCTAGCTTTTCTGGTTCTCGAGTTGAAAGTGGGTGAGAAAAAGTGCGAAAACACAGACACACGCACATACACAGACAACCTCTTCCCAATATGCCTTTTCTCAATTTGCATATATGAAAAAACGCATAAAAACAGGCCTTAAATGATTGATTTGGTAGTGAGTTTGAAATCTCCTGCTGCGTTAGTTCGCCAAACGTTAAAAATCCGAGGAGACCGAAAACCGATTTAAAAACAGCAGCAACAATATGCGACCAGCGAAGCATCCATTTGAACTGGCTGGGATCCTAAACTTAATAGCCAGTACTGCACACGAGACTTCTCAGCTTCGCTCAAAAATAGTTTTATAGAGAAGTTTAATTGTTAAAAAAAACCGTAAGTGGATTCGTTACTGGAAGAATGAGCACGGTTATGAAAATGGTAAAGAGAAACCTGCATGGATGCCTCCAGCGATGGCAGAAAAATATGTGAAGTATAACCGAATACAACCACTCCTATCACTGTGGGCATTGTGCGAATGTGGAATGTGAATGGCACTTCGCTCCAGACCCATGTCGATATCTGAAGTGAAGAGGTACTATTGCATGAGTTGAGCTGAATTTATAAACAGCCCTTAAGTTTTTCACAAATTTAGTGTAATCCGTTGTGATCTCTCCCTGCTTTACCTGTAGCATGCAGTAGAACAGCACTATAGCATTAATAATCAGATGCGAAACAGCATTTGCCAGGCTAAGATTACTGACAACACGAATGGATTCCAAAAATGCGCAACCCAGCAATACCGTCGTTACAAACATCATCCACGCTGATTTATCTAAATTTTGCTTAATTCATGTATTATTTCCAACTTCCAAAAATAAAAGCAACTTGCAGATTTATTGGACTGGCAAGTTTGTTTTGTGTTTACTCATATCAATGACGATAGTAGTAATACATACACTAGTACCATCTTAGGAAGAGAGCGAAAATAAGGAGGAAGAATCATTTGGATGAAGATATGCATGAAACGATATCGAACAGCGATGTATCAAATAATCACTGGCGACGCGCGCCGGGCAAACCCGTGCGATAATGCGTTTTTGCTGTATTTCGTGATGTTGTAATTATTGCTCCGAAACCCAGTGGCTAGAATATGTGACATATTGGTCTTCGAAGTTCGTGAAGTTAATTATGCAATCATGTACTAGGGCAGGGAACATTCTGTTAAAATTTCAACTTCCCAACTTTTCTGGTTCTCTTACTAGGATTTTCCCGTCAAAACTTTCATGGGGTCGTACATGACCTGGAGGAGTACTTGAGGGACTGGTTTCGAAATCTTCAAGTTGGGCGTGGGCTGGGGACATCTCTTTAAAATTTCAGCCTCTCAGCTTTCCTGGTTCCTGAGTTAGCGATTTTTGCCCCAGGAACCCTCAAGGGGCTGTGCACGGGGACTACGCACAGCTGGGGGCTGAATTTGAAATCTTTGAGTTCTATATGGGTGGGGAACATAACATCAAAATTTTAGCTTTCTAGCTTTCTGGTTCCCGAGTTGGCGATTTTTTCGCCAAAACTTGCATCCCTTCGTATGCGGGGCCCAGACTTGTGTGAGGGTTAGTACCGCAGTCCTGGGGTGACAGTTGGCCGGGGAACCCATTGGCAAAATTCCGGCGCCGGAGCTCGTTTGGTTACCGAGTTGAAATACACGGGCAGACAGACAGACAGACAAACACACGAACATACACAAATACGCACACCATGAGTCGTCGTCACAATATGCGTTTTTGCATTTGCATCTAAGCAAAAACGCATAATTACGAAGTCCGTTAAAACAACCCATACGGAGATCCGTCTTTAGTGATGTTTTTGGTGTGCTCCCATGTGACAACTTACCCTCTTTTGTTTTGAACAGCCTATTCGAGGCAAATTAGTGCCAAAAACAGACAATCTTTAATCGCTCCAAATGTAATGCGACAACTAGTAGCGAACACCAGATTATGGGTGCGGTTTGTCTTCGCAAATTAGGTATTTTAACACTGATACTAAGGTGACACTGGGGTTGATTAGCTGCTGCGTTACGGGCAGAAACAATGCTAAATCAAGCACAGTTTTAAAACAAACGTTCCGGATGTGATCTTACCAACGGATGGCACACAGCTTTGAAGCAAATCGCCAGCAATAACAATATAGATGATACAGGTGCTGAGCAGTTCAGTGAGTTGCGCACATAACACAAGTCGACCCATTCCCGGACGATAAGCTTCTGCAACTTCTCGATACGTGTGGCGTACCTGTAAATGAATTTGAGAATTTCAC